GCTGTTACAGTTTGACCACCATTGCGGGGCCCTCAGGCAATCCAAGATATCGAGGCCCTCTCCTGTGAGTCTGAGCGCACCACCCTTGGATTTGAGAGTCATTACATTCTTTATTTCTGCCCTCCTTACTCTAAGTTTAGTCTATTGGTGCTGAGAGGAAGGCGGCAACCGGGATTGCAACCCGTACTCCGCGCCAAGGCCTCTGTGGGAGGTTCGCCCCACCGACTGCGGGAGCTCTGCCGGACCCTAACGAGGCTTTGGAGGCAGGGAATTAAAAGGTAACCATTGCTTCCCCTTTTATATACTCTAATATAACCCCTACTTGTACGTCTTGCTATGGTTGACTGAGTATACTGTATGTACCCCTATTTTGGCTTTGGGTTGACTGGCAGGACACAACTCAGATTAAGTAAAAGAATGTGTGCGCAATCTCAGTCTCAGTTTTTGTTGATTGCCTTAAGGCAGATTGTGAACACAAAGGGTTGCATCTGGGGGAAGGGTGGGTGAAAGGTGGTTTTGCCTAAGTGTGAATGGGTCCTATGGGGCCAGGCCAGTTCCGTAAGATTAGACGGTCTGACCGCTGTGTTTTATTTTTGAATTGCATGGAGAGTCAGACAAGTTCCATAAGATTGGACGGTCTGATTGCTCTGAATTATGAGGGTTTGACTGTGGCTGACTTTTCAGGGGTCAAACCTGTACCATAAGATTGGAGGGTTTGGTTGCCATGTTTGATTGTGGTTTGTTTTGTTTCTTTTGTTTCTGATCGAGGAGGTCTCAGCAAGTCCATAAGATTGGACGGCTCAGCCCCCCTCTTGTTTTATTCTGAGGGGATAATCCTTGCTGAGGGCAGGGCATGTCCATAAGATTGGACGACCTTGGACTCATGCCAGACATAATGGATCAGAGAGAAACGAACCTGGCAGAGGACCAGACTAGTTCCATAAGATTGGACGATTTGGCCCAATGCCTCGCACATGCTGGAACCCAAAGGGTTAAATTTTGGCTATATTTTATACTATCCTGTGTATGAACAGGCTAGCCAGGCATGGGTTCCATAAGATTGGACGGTCTGACTGTAGCTTATCATAAAATGAAGAGAGTATAATTAAGATTATAATTGAAGGTAACCCTGGACAGGCCAGGCCTTGTTCTAAGATGAACGGTTCGGTCTTATGCCCAACTTTTGAATACTAAGCTCGGAGAGGTATATATAAGTTGGATATTAAACATTTTTGGGCGACTAAGCCTTGTTCTAAGATGAACGGCCTAGTCGTATGCCCAAAAGGAAGAGAGAAGTAGTTGTGCAACCTGTTCGTGTATACTCAATGACTGAGTAAGGCAAGTTCCCTAAGATTGGACGACTTGAATTTATGCCCTATGTAAGTTGGGTATAAGGGGATAAAGCATTGAGAAGTTCCGAACTATTGTTTGCAAAGATTGATTTGGGGTGGCGAGAGTATTTACCTTTGTGGTTTGGCCTGCATGAGGCTGAGTGAGGCTACTGCTTGGTTTGAGTGTAAGGTTGACAGGTAGTTGCTTTAGAGACTCGCCTCGTGCTAAAGCGATAGGAGTTAGGTCAATTCCTGCATTTTCTAAGCTAACTTTTTTTTTACTTAGATCAATTCTCGTACTTTCTGGGATCTTTTGTTATACTTGGCTTTGTATAAATTTTGGTAAGCCACTTTCTGTACGGGAAGCGCTGCCGAAATTTTTACAAATCCGAGGAGTTAGTCAATTCTTGACTTTTCAAGGTTCAGCCCGTCTAAAGTTCATGTATGGCTTAGTAAAAATCTGGAAATTATCCTTTTCTAAAGGAAGTGTTGCCTAAATTTTGGCTCATTCAGGGAGTTAGACAAAATTGGACTTTGGAAAGTCAAAGACTATTTCTGTTCTCATATTTGGGCTGATATAAATTATGAAAAGACACTTTTCCTACGGGAAGCGCTGCCGAAATTTTCTTGATTTAGAGGAGTTAGATTATAGTATGACAGATGACGATTCTGGCAATCCACCCTGAACAGGGGAGGTCCTGTCGTTAGTCTACCTTTGCTTGGGCACTGGCTTAGGGGTAAACTTTGATTAAGTTGGTAGGTAACTTGGGTGAGAATGTGCTATGGAGGGTCATCCCCCATATGCTGATGATTTAGCTTGGGCATTGACCTGTCTTATGGTACAGACCTTTCTTGGACATTCGATTCAGGACTTGGACTAAGTTCAGCTCGATCCTACAAGGGTCGTTTTCTATTATCACTTATAACACGTCGGTTGCCGATTCGTCGGCTCACGACTCAATTCCTACTCGCTCCCCATACTCAACCTAAAGGCTTTAGCCCTGGTGATCTTTTTGTTTGTTAAGGGTTTCACCCGGACTTTTATTGAATGGTCATTTAACAAAGGTACTGAGTATTTAATTGGGGTTGGTTGGCTGGAGGTTGGGGTTTGCATGGCTAAAGCGAGGGGTATGAGTATAGGAACTGGTTGGAGTTGACTCC